GAAGAGAGACTTGGATAGGAGGAATTGAAAATGAGCATTTTCAGCACCTGTAATTGTTGGTCTGTAAATGCTTTAAGTTCTGCTTTTGCTCCTGTAAAATGATCCATTAGTGTTTCTGGTTTGGGTGGTCATGAGGTTCTTTTGCCTCTTTGCACCCTCTCCCGATCAAAATCCAGGGGATTCTTCTAGCTGTGGGCCTCCTGGTATTACTTGCATGTCTCTTGCCTCTGTCTTTGCCATTCTTAACTGAGGTAGGGGAACTGTACTGCAGTAATAGATTTAGCGAAATTAAATGACATGGCACTGTCTGCAAAATACATATGGCACCTTCAAAGACTCATTGATTTCCGCACAGAAGTGTCACCTCCCTTGTGAGCCTATGGATTCATCACAGCACGTCACTCCACTCATATTTCTATCACCACATTACCCCATCCACATCACACCACATCCGCAGACCAATCCCATGACCAATCTCCTGCCAGAGACCTATTATAGAATTGGTGCCTTCTACAGACTTCACTTGACCTGAAGTCTAATCACAGCACCTTGCTCCACCTACATAGACATGTCTGCATGATATTAGGAAAAAACATCGCTGGACGAGAGCCACTGTTATGTTGCTATTGTCTTTTATTGTAGGCGGTAACAGAACGTGGGGATTATCGCTCCATCGTTTCATTGTTCGTGATAATCTCTCAAATGTGCAACTTTCACACGTACATCTGCCGAGCCAGCCGTTCCCCGGTCCCTGTGCGATGGGCTCCTTCTGTTGCACGTCTCAGAAGGAGATCTCAGAGGATGACATTGCCCTGAAATGCCAAGCACGCAGAATGGGGGCTAAACTGGGGTTTTGGCACCGCCGACCGGCATGAAGAACGCTGCAGAGAGACAGGAAAAGTGGAGGTTGGACATTGAAAGGGATCCAGCCATGCAGAACATTACACCAAGACGTGGTGTGTGAGAGTCACCTGTGCAGACTAAACGCTGCCTCCAAAGACTAATTTGGACCAGAGCGCAAAAGAGCGTCGTCTCTAAAGACAAACCAGGCTTCTGCTGAAATAAGAGATTGAAAAAGACAATAAGCCTCAAATATGCAAAAATGTTATGCTTATTTATTCTTGAACTCTATTATATTATTTTGATTCCCATGATTGAAAAAAAATTCTTTTGTACATATAATATACACATACACACATTAGGTATCTATATCTTTATAGTGACTCTCCATTTATTTCTATGAGCAAAACCCCAATCCCATGTATGACAATCTTAATCTCTACTCAGTCCTAACATTAACCATAAGTAACCAAACAAAATAGTACGAGTAGTACAAAATAGTATTATAGTTTTTTCATTGCAGTAACGGATTTGTATAAAATTCAGATATATCTTGTGTTAATTGGAAACATGTCCCTACAAGGTCAAAATAAGTGTTCATATATAAATATGTGTGTGTGTGTCTACACACACACACACAAATACCACATATTTCTCAAAGTAAGAAACCAAACTGACCTTTATGCTATGCTCAGAGTCCTGCAAGTTATTGCACACTGCCATACATTTAATGTCTGCATTCCGGAGTGCCAGGACGCTACTGCACATTCTGTCAGGAACCTATTGGAACTGAGTTGTACTTTGCATGACAGACGTGTGTGAGGTTAGAGGAGAGTCATAAGGATGCAGGTTTTATCTCGGAAATGCGCATAATAATAGTTGAGCTGACCATGGCACATCAAATGCTGGATGGAAGGGGGGAGGGGGAGAGAGACACCCCAAGTCATTTCTTCCCCTTTTGTCCTTGAAAGAAAAGATTTGGAGAGATTTAAAAAGTGAATGCAGCACGCAGGCAGCTCCCTCCATAACTTTGCAGCCGCTTTGTCACAAAAGGGTTTAGGGACACATTCCCCAGGGCTCGCGGGCATCTAGATTAGAGACGTCCGCTACCACAACCCCGCAGTCTGAGGGCAACATTCCGTCACGCGGCTCTTCCCAAATGATGCCGGAGCCCCCCAAGGAAGCATAATGCCAAGCCATGTCATCGGCAGTTAGGGCTGGGAAAATGCCCCACCCCACCCCACGTGAAGGACATTTCTGAGGTCCTTTACATTGTCTCCTGATTGAGTTTTCATTACCCTGCAGAGCAGCTTGTCTCAGTGCATTATGCTGTAATGACTGGAATGTCAAAACATCAGTCAGGCAAAAAAAAAAAAATAATAATACAATGATTGTATTGTAAAGTCTATTTATTGAAATTTAACACACAGGGAATTAAATGTGGGATCATTTAGGGAACTTCATCCGTCACAACCACTTAATTACAGTATCGTACGTAACACAGGATTTTATAAAAGGGAGACAAATATACGGGATCACAAGGTTTATCGCATGGAAATTTTAGACTTCGTTAATGTGCGTGATCTAGATGACTGTATTTCTAATACCCAGAGTTTACTACCAGCTCATTAGGCATATTCGAACCACAGTGCTTTAATAAAGCTGTTATAATCATCAGGTGATGTGTGATAATTTAGCTCTTCCTATTCCAAAGATCCTGTAGTTTGCTACATGTCTCACCTTGGATATTATTTATAGGGGCTGGTAGCTCTGACAAGATTTATCTCACTTTGTTTCATTCACCAAGGGCCACAATATTGTTGTTTGTCGACACGGCCCAATATAAGGTTCATGTGGAGAGCTGGCTGTCCATGATGCATTATGGGTAAAAGGGAGAGTGAGAGCCTTAGGAAACAATCTGGGCATCTCCAGAAGAGAAACTGTCACCGCTCTGCTCTGAGGAATGCCCCCTCCCCATCCCTCCTCAAGCCTTGTGACAGACACTCAGCATTTCCTGCTTCTATTATGTCACCGTCTCACCCGCTGATCGTTTAGGTCATGCTTTCAGCCATTTTAATTTGCCACTGCCAGACGGGAGACACTTTCATTACCCTTGAGGAATCGGCCCCGGTCAAGAACTCCGCTCCTAGCTCACATTCCAGCAGTGGGACCATCCTTTTTTATGAACCTCATTGTGAAACTTTGTTGCAGTAGCTGCATCATGTGACTTTCCCTAACAGACCACTCAGATTTTATTTTTGTTTCTCTGTAAAAGGGGGAGTGCCCATCTCTCTTCCAAGCTCTTATCCAGTACAGGGTGATGGGGTAAAGGAGCGATCTTATTGGCATAATCATGCGTGGAGCATTGAATGAATGTGGGCGAGGTGAGCCGAAGATCGATGTCACGAGGTCAGCCTGCAATAGAGCAGTGGGCCGAGAAGGTCATCTTCTGGTTAAGGTGGTGCTGTGCCACCGGTCGGGTTCGGAGCCCCCGCAACCTCATCAATGGCGATACTTCTTAAACCGACGACTCCACTAAGCCTCTTGCTGCTCCTCCAAGCTTAATGTGCTCTTAAAGCCCTTTTCTGCTCTATGATCTTTGATGTGTCCGGCCCAGTGTGTGGCCAGCGGGCCTTCAATAAAGATCAGAGTGAAGCTTAAATGTCTCCATAGCAGCAAGCTGTCCCGGGTGTGCTCATAGACCTTCCAGGCCCATACTCCCCTTTAAAGGACCCCTTATCTTCATTCACAATCCCTTTAAGAACATTTACTCATTTTGCTCCTTAATCGGTATTCATTACAGACCTGTAATGAAATACTGTTTACTTGGAAGATTTGCAGCACCTTAATCATTACACTTCCTTGTCACTATACGATAGCAATCAAAGCAGTCATCATGATGCATTGTAATGCATTCATAAAGCATTATAAACACAGCTATAACTCTTTATAAAAAGGCATAACACATTATAGCCATGTTTATTATGCATTATGAATGCTCTATGAAGCTCTCTTCTATATTGCACTATTAATACCTTCATTAAGCAGAACAAACCATCCCTAATTCTTATATTGACCATTATAATGTATTATGAAGGTATTTATAGTGCATTACGGATGAGAGCTTCATTATTTTACCTATGATAATAATACTTTATGAATGCATCATAATGCATTACGAAGGTATGTATAATGCATTATGTGACTGCTTTAAGTAAAGCGTTACCAATAGTTCTCTTTATTCCTTACCTGCGTCTCTATCTCTCTGAGTGGTCTAACTGGTCAGAGGCAGTTAAAATTCTGTGGAAAGCTCTTTCTGTTAAGCCGGCGCGCCGGATGAAGCGCGGCTGTAATAAAGAGGTGGCAGACAGAATAAACAGTCTGAACATGGGCAGGAGTCTCCTGAACCATTAGTCTCTTTCAGTCATTTTTAACAACGGAGGCCAACTAAGCAGGCTTACAGACTTTCTTTCTTAAATTACCCTCCTCCCAAAAGCAATCTGTAAATGGGACATGTGGTGGGGGGGTGGGGGGGGTGCACGTGACTGGAGAACACAGCGCCAGCAACACAGTGTGAGGTGTAACCAGATTAATCTCACACGAGTGCTGAGCTGTGGCGGCGCGTGGCTGGAGAGCAGGGAAGCTGAACGCTTTGCCGCCCCTGTTTCCCCTGGACCAGCGGTCGGCGCCGTGGCAGAGCTGGGGGGATGGTGTTGCGGCTGACGGGGTGGGTGCTTACAGATCGGCATGCGGGCCGGCCGCGGATGCCTCCTCAATCATCTGAGCAGCGTGAGCCTGTACCCAGCACCTGGTGGGAGACAGAGACGGATAGCTATGGAGTGGTCGAGATGTCTTTGGGGTTGAAAATAGAAGCAAGGCTCTCTGCTGGAACAGATTATTTTACCAGGCTTTTATACCAGGTTGTGGGGAAAGTGATGCAGGGTGACCTGGTCTGGCTGATCCTTGAACCGCCTGGTCTGGCTGATCCTTGAACCGCCTGGTCTGGCTGATCCTTGTCTGGTTGAGCTGGCTTACTTGGTCTTTGGTCTGGCCTGGTCCATCTTGATCTAACAGGGTGTGATCTTTCCTGTCCTGCTATGTCATAACCTGTCTTCGTTTTTACCTCTTTTTACCTGACATTCACTGTCCCCTACATGCAGGTATTGAACGTGAGCCTGTTGGAGGGCGAGATGGTGACACTGGAGGACCTGGGCTGCCGGGAGCCCTTGGTTCTGGCCAATGAGTCCATCCTGATGAAGGGACTGGTGGTGCGCAGCCAGAGCAACCACATCGCCGTCCGCTTCCGTAGCGAGCAGCGGCCTCAGCCCGGCTCCTTCCTGCTGAGGTACCAGGGTAAGGCCATACCCTCCGTCCAGACACACGGGCTACACTGCTGAGGTGGGAGCAGCTCTGACGGGCAGATCAGAGGCCTGTGAGGTTTCATTTCGAAAGTGGCTTTGTATTTAGACTGGGCGAGGAGGCAGGTACCTTTCCAAATAACGGCGAGATGAAACGCGGTGGAGCCTGAAGCCCTGGGGGCCGGAGATTCCGAAGTCGAGGTAAATAGTGGAGTGTTTTTTATAAACCTGCATCTTTCTGTACATTGCCTTTGACCTGTAATAAATCCATACAGTGGGCATGAAAATGAACAATTGAGGGCACTGTGTGGAGGCCCTGCAGATGCTGGGTAGATTTACATGATGCCAACGCCCCCCACATCTAGTACCCAATCTCTGGTTGTCTCCTTTTTGGTGACAGACAGCAATCAGGACTTCACCACAGATGATCTAGAAGTGTGCACCTGTCCCCGGATTTAAGTCGGTCAGGAAAAAAAAATGGCCCATATGAATCTAGAAGTAACGGCAGCTTTTTAACTCCTGGATTCGCTGTGTGTCTGGGTCATGCAGGGTCCATGACGGTGCTTCCTGGTCGGTCCTTTGTTCGCAGCGGCTAGACAGCGAGGATCGATGTCCATCGCCGATGTTATAACGCCATGTTTGGCACTGATGGACATTTTACAGAGATGTCAAGAAGCAGTGAAAAATCTATCATTTTCAGCCACAGGATGGTCACATGACAACAGAGAGAAAAATAGCCTCAAACAAAGCTGAAGCCCAGCCAGATCCTCCTGTTTCCATAGACTAATGAACTATGACAGGTTGTGGGCTCCGTAAGACAGCCATTTCTCTCTCTCCTTCTTTTTGTCCACTCTCCCTTTCTTTACCTGCTTTTCCATGGCTTAGTGGGTGTGGATTATCAGTGGTCCACACGGTCTGTTTTTTTTTTGGGGGGGGGGAGTGAGAATAAATGGGGATTTTCATCCCTCTATTAAACACGTGGCCGTCAGGCAGGACTTGGGAGCGCATGCTGATAACCGCTTCCTCTTC